AAAATGACACCCTCAATACTGCTCTCCAGCCACCCTGCACTCAGGATATGGGCACCCATACAGGAAGCCGTGGACTTATCCCCTCATCCTTCCCCCATGTGTCCCATCACAGACAACCCCCTGTTCCCTCTGGGACTGCAAGCCAGGACATACTGACAACTCTAGCGCATACCTTGTGGTATTGCCCGATATACTGGACCAATATAGTGAAAATGCTCAAAACGGGAATTCAACTATCCCCTACCCCACATACACTACTGTTTATGATATTCCCCCACTCCCTTCCCAAGCATCAACGACTCCTCCTTACCAACCTTATAACGGCAGCCAACCTACTATTCCTGTTAAGTGGAAAAACCCTGCAGCTCCATCGATCAGGGAATGGATGGCCAGAATAGACAAACTCAAGACCATGGAGGAGATACACGCCTCCATCTCCCATAAACAGGCACTCTTCCAGGAACTCGGTGAGCCATGGGTCAGATTCATAACCAATACGTAATCTGGCTCCAAAGAACACACACACCTCAATATCGGGGCACAGCCACAATGGCCCCAAAGACACTGAGCACAGAGCAGTGATGCCCCCCACACCACCACCATCCACCCCTACCTCCCCCACTACTTTCACTGATCACCCACTACCCTCCAGGATCTACAATCGCACACAACACATGCGCCCACACCAGACTAGAGGGCCAAACCCCATCCCCTCCCTATTCCCCCTCTTTAAACCCCTATTACTATTATCACACCTTTGCATATGGCATACGGTTTTTCAAACACATAGAGGTACCAACAACTTAACACTGACCCAACCACTTAAACCAAAACGGGGGCCTGGGAGACCAGTAAACTGTATCTGTATCACATATCGGTTAACAAAATGTTGTAACCTAGCATTTTTCAAATAGCCAGATTGCTTGATACTATGTGTACAACAACGGATATATACTTTGTTCCTAATGTACCCATACACTGTAGTGATGCAATGCCTGCAACCTTTGTCGATGTTCAATAAAAACTTTGAAACAAAAAAAAATAAAAAAATAAAAATAAATTGAAATATCACCAATGTTACTATGATATACGGCAATAAACATTTTCATTGTAAAAAACAAAATTTTATATATATATATATATATATATATATATATATATATATATTTATATATATATCAGAATTGCCAAAATCAGGACAGTTGGGAGGCATGGGTTAATAGAACACAATTCACAGAGATTAGTCTGTAAGAGAAGATGCTGTGCCGGTAAAGGTAAATACCAAGAACTGATTGACAGGTGAATGGAGGGTAATGTTCTTTCTTTGGCTTTATTAGCAAATCTATACATTTGGTTGCCATTCTACTAGCTCGCTTTATAGAGGAAATTTTATGATGCACACTTTAACACTAGCAAGTCAAGTTTATTAAAAATATAGAAATATTTAAATAATGTAAATTTACTTACAAACATGACTACTTTATTCAATGTTTAGCCTGCCTGATAAAAGGTCCTTTATAGCCTCTGTCACATAAAATGTATTTTATCTTAACTAGTTTAAAAGCACATATTAACAGGGGAATAATTAATTTGGCTAACTAATCTGTAATTACCATTTGAAGTTATCATTGAGTTTGATATCAGCAACAGAAAATGAGCTGCAAACTGACGCCAGTTCAGGTAAAAAATGTAATGCTAGTAGTCAATCAGATCTTCGGATTTGTACTATTGAACTGATTAGCTTCAAGTGTTCCACTGTGGAAAGAAGAAGAAATCAGTGTTTGAATTATCCATTGATTTGGAATGTTCAAAGTGCTCACAGAAAATCTAGTCTAAGACCTAAATATCCCCAATTAATGTTTATAAAAGCTAATGAATTACATTTTTGATAATTTACGGAGTTCTGTTTGATAGTATAATAATAACAATAATAATTAGTATTTATATAGTGCCGACATATTCTGCAGCACTTTACAATTATCGAGAGGGGAAATTTAGTGCAGGAAAAGGCATTTTGAGGCAGGTAGATAGATATGCACAGATTCTTGACCAGGTACACTTAATGGTAAAGGTTGACTGACCGGGAATCTAAGGCAGTGTTACCACTGTCTAACCAGCCAATTTCCTAGAACCAATATATTTGTTGATGATCGTGATACTTTAGTCCTTGTGCTGTGACATTATTTTTCATTTGTTTTTTTCATGAGAAGCTGGCTACACTAAATATGCAGTGCTCTATAAAGGAGCTTTATAATGTAATATGTGTTTTTATAAATTTCTGTGAAATTATAATAAAATGTGGCCAACCATTATAATCTTTGCCCAGGGCCCACAGCCTAAATCATTAAAATTGTATTAATGTTGCATTTTAGTACATTTACAGGATGCCTTAAGAATTTTCTGTGTGTATCCTGGGAAATGTGTTTTGTATAATTCAGGGTGGCAGTCTTAATTGTTTAAACAGGCAAAATGATAGAAAAGACTCTTGAAGAAATATGGAAAATATGTAGCTACAGGGCAAATTAAGATGTCACAAATCAAGCCCAAGTGTTGTACATCAGGCAACTCATCACTTGGCATTCAATTAGAAATATCAGGAAGGAAATTTCTTAAAGAAATTCAATTACTATTAATGCAAGGAGTGCACGAAGAGAGAGAGAGAGAGAGAGAGGGAAAATCAATGCTTCCCCTTGCAGGCAGATCTGCAAAGAATAAGATCATTGCGTCTGTTGCAAACTCGCTGTACACACTTGCATAGAATTGCCTTTAGGCACAGCAGTCATGTGTGCTGGGAGTGCAACTAGTCCTCGATAGTAAAGTGCAGATAAATCTGTATGTACAGTGTTTCAATTAGAAAAGCTGCACGTAAAGACACAAAAGTAGAAATGGTCACGGCTGAAGGAATAACCCTTTAACCCCTTAAGGACCAAACTTCTGGAATAAAAGGGAATCATGACATGTCACACATGTCATATGTCCTTAAGGGGTTAATGAAGTTGGTCTTTTTTTTTTATTATTTTTTACTCAATATGCAATTTTGTGGTCACTTTTTGGATTTGAAGTTTATTTATTTAATGAATCTATTATCCATTTCACGGTTGCAAATATATACCAGGAATATACTTGTGTATTGAAATTGAGGTTTTAAATCAGATTTATTAAGTTCTTCTAAAAGTGAAATTCTAATATAATTCATAAAGATGGCTTGAGATAATGCAAACGTTTCTGAAGCCATTTGTGAATTGAGATCTACGGATGGATGCACCTGTCCAAGGCTTCCTATTTAAAGAATTTCAGAGAAGTAGAAGGGCAGGCAGAAAGTAACTGTGCTGGATAGAAGACTTTGGGGTAAATTATGAAGTTGTTATGGTGCTCAGAGTTGCCCTTTAAGTAGTTTGCTAAAGATACCCTTGAAGTGGGAATAATTCTTGGAATGTTTTCAAGTATGTAGAATTCAGTGATCAACTTTTTCTTTGTATTAACAGTGGCATTACATTGTTATTGACACCCTTTTGCAGATTTCAATTTTATTGCTGCACTTGCAGACACGGAGGTAAAAGAATCAGATAAATCAGGGGTAGTCAACCTTTTTCTACCTACCGCCCACTAATGCATCTTTCTTGATGGAAACATTTCCTTACCGCCCACCAGTTTTTGCGCAAGTGCAGAATATTTTTTAGAAAGGAGGGTGTTATAAAAAGATACATGTACGTACATTTTTTTTTTTGTCTACTTTATCCATATTTATAATATTTTTAACTTTATAAAGTTTAATGAGAAAATAATAAAGTAAATTGAAATTAACCTTACTAGTGATTAATGAGATCCTTGAGGTTGATGCTGCGAGACTAAATATTTGATATCTGGTTCGATTTTCGTAAGGAACAAACGAAGGTCTCCTCTTTCGGTGATATTCAGACGACTTCTCTGTTTGCTCATAATATGATTTCTCATCTGTGCTTCAGGTCCCCTCCTCAATTCCCCACCCCACTTTTTTTTCCCCTTTTTCCCTTTTTTTTCACCTTCCTGGACACAGCTTCCCAATCTGCATTGTATCCAACCAGAATGAAATGGGAAAAAAAAACAAAATAGAGTCTAAGCACACTGCAGCTCCGGTATGAAACTGCTTTTCCAAACCTTTTTATTCAGTAGATAAAGCACATTTCATCCTCCAAAGGCAGGACTTACTTGCTATCTCTTGTAACCATATGCTTCCTATGCAACTAGCAATTTGCCCCAAGCCATATTTCCCTTCCATTGCAATACATGCCCTCCATATCACAAAACCACATTCCTCACGTCACAGCTAAATACCCCCTTATGACCATACTCATCTCACAACCATATCTCCTCAGTAACATATACTTATATTCAGCTTTATTCCCTATACTTCCCTCACCCCCAGAGCCATATACATCCTCACAGGTATGTTCTTTACCTACTTACTGCTCTTGCTGTTTATGCCCAGTGCTGTATATGAGGGGCCTATGAAACAGCATGTAGCATGCATATCAGTATTGTACTCAGTGGTGTATCCTGGTTTTGTGCTTCCCTAGGCAAGACAAAACTCAGGCGCCCCTCCCACCCCTGTGCCAGCCCCCCAAGCCTTCTAAATACACATACACACACATTCACTGACAGATACGCATACACTCGCTAACAGAAACACACACACACTAACAGACACACACTCACTGACACAAACACTCACAGGCAAACACACTCACACTAACAGACAGACACACACACACACACTCACTGACACACAGTCAAACACACACTAACAGACACACACTCACTCATTAGCAGACACACACACTAACAAACACACACACATTAACAGACACACTCACAGACATACACACACTCACTCACATTAACACATTTTTTTTTATTTACCTCCCCCCCCACCCCCCAACCACCTTACCTTTGGGAATGCTGGGGGAGGAGGGGGCCCTCTCTCCCTGGTGGTCCAGTGTCTGATGGGCGGGCGGGTGGCTGGCGAGGGAGCACTTCCTCTGAACTGTGTGCCCAGCTCCCTCGCGCGTTGCTGAGCACACAGCTCAGAGGAAGAGCTCCCTCGCCAGCCGCCCGCACAGCGCCGCCCACCCGCTCGGCATGTCTGTTAGCCGCGAGGCTAACTAGGCATTTGCCCTGGGCATTTGGGGGGCGGCGATTTTTGCCGCCCCCTGGAAAATGCCGCCCAAGGCAAAGGCCTTGTTTGCCTCGCGGCTAAAACGCCCCGATTGTACTCCACATTGAAAATAAAGATACATTCTCTTAATTGGACACAATGAAAGGTGCCAGAAATATATGAATAGTTTAGATAAGATAATGCTCTTGAGGCTAGAAAATTATTTTTGCACCTGAACTAATAGAAAACCATGATATCTGACCCCATGTGGCGCTACATGTCAAGTGTTATAAAGTCTTTCATATCAACAGTTGGAGAGCCACTATGTTACACCTTCTACACTTCATAACCAAGTTTCATACTTCCAAAGTGTCCCCATTTAGAAGGGTCAGTCCCTATTTTTGGCCTAAATCTGTCTGTCCCTCTTTTACATTCTTATGTTCTCTAGAACTCCATATTATACAGTGTTTGACGTATGACAGGGCTCCTAAATACTCAAGTAATGGGCCTTTAAGTACAATAAATTTGTTTAGAAATCAGTATACCTAAATAAGATACATTGTTCTTATGCTAAATTGCATTTTAGTTGTCTAAACTATTTATTAGTGAGTCACCTAAAATTTCTCAACAGGACAGCCTCTAGCCTCACCTCTAACCACACCTCCACTTACAACCCTAAAATTAAATTGCCCATCTTTGTCAATATGAAATGTTGGAAGGTATGATATGTTATATCTTTGTATATAGTGTTAAATATGTTGTTTGCTGAATTATTAAATTTTTCAAAATGCCGATAATTCAACAGTTGTTTTAGAGTAAAGATCTTCATTGACTTGCATAATAAATCCAAGTTTATTGCAAAGTATAATTGAGCTCCCGATATGTTATAATGGAATTGGACATTTTATCAAAAGACATGTATGAACAGATTGCTTACTAATCTGATTTGAAATAGACCTGTACAAAATACACAACATTTTGCTATTAGGGAACTCAATGTATCCTTAAAATGGAGTGAGTACTGTTTTGTTGCGCACTTTGCTGAGGGAATTAAAACAGCTTCTCTGGCCTGAAGTCTCACTCCTTAAACCATGACAGCTCTGAACTTTAATGTTACTAGTTAATGAAAGCTATTGGTAATGATCTCCTTTCATCTGACTTTCTTTATTACCACTGAAGTCACATTAAAGCTTTCCACGTTGAACCTTATGTTTCCAGTTTAAAAGGTTGAACAAAGTTTAATGAATAAGGAGCTTTCGTATTAAACAGCCTTGAATGCTTTTTTATTTTTTTTTCTGTTTACAGAAAGAGATACAGTCAGGTCCATAAATATTGGGACATCGACACAATTCTAATTTTTTTGTCTCTATACACCACCACAATGAATTTGGAATTAAATGAACAAGATGTGCTTTAACTGCAGACTTTCAGCTTTAATTTGAGGGTATTTACATCCAAATCAGGTGAACGGTGTAGGAATTACAACAGTTTGTATATGTGCTTCCCACTTTTCAAGGGACCAAAAGTAATGGGACAATTGGCTGCTCAGCTGTTCCATTGCCAGGTGTGTGTCATTCCCTCATTATCCCATTTACAAGGACAGATAAAAAGTCCAGAGTTCATTTCAAGTGTGCTATTTGCGTTTGGAATCTGTTGTTGTCAACTCTCAATATGAGATCCAAAGAGCTGTCACTATCAGTGAAGCAAGCTGAAAAAACAAAACAAATCCATCAGAGAGATAGCAAAAACATTTGGTGTGGCCAAATCAACTGTTTGGAATATCCTTAAAAAGAAACGCACCGGTGAGCTCAGCAACACCAAAAGACAAGGAAGACCACGGAAAACAACTGTGGTGGATGACCGAAGAATTCTTTCCCTGGGGAAGAAAACACCCTTCACAACAGTTGGCCAGATCAAGAACACTCTCCATGAGGTAGGTGTATGTGTGTCAAAGTCAACAATCAAGAGAAGACTTCACCAGAGTGAATACAGAGGGTTCACCACAAGATGTAAACCATTGGTGAGCCTCAAAATCAGGAGGGCCAGATAAGAGTTTGCCAAACAACATCTAAAAAAGCCTTCACAGTTCTGGAACAACATCCTATGGACAGATGAGACCAAGATCAACTTGTACCAGAGTGATGGGAAGAGAAGAGTATGGAGAAGGAAAGGAACTGCTCATGATCCAAAGCATACCACCTCATCAGTGAAGCATGGTGGTGGTAGTGTCATGGCGTGGGCATGTATGGCTGCCAATGGAACTGGTTCTCTTGTATTTATTGATGATGTGACTGCTGACAAAAGTAGCAGGATGAATTTTGAAGTGTTTCAGGCAATATTATCTGCTCATATTCAGCCAAATGCTTCCGACCTCATTGGACGGCGCTTCACAGTGCAGATGGACAATGACCCGAAGCATACTGCAAAAGCAACCAAAGCGTTTTTAAGGGAAAGAAGTGGAATGTTATGAAATGGCCAAGTCAATCACCTGACAATCCGATTGAGCATGCATTTCACTTGATGAAGACAAAACTGAAGGGAAAATGCCCCAAGAACAAGCAGGAACTGAAGACAGTTGCAGTAGAGGCCTGGCAGAGCATCACCAGGGATGAAACCCAGCATCTGGTGATGTCTATGCGTTCCAGACTTCAGGCTGTAATTGACTGCAAAGGATTTGCAACCATGTATTAAAAAGTGAAAGTTTGATTTATGACTGTTAATCTGTCCCATTACCTTTGGTCCCTTAAAAAGTGGGAGGCACATATACAAACTGTTGTAATTCCTACACTGTTTACCTGATTTGGATGTAAATACCCTCAAATTAAAGCTGAAAGTCTGCAGTTAAAGCACATCTTCATTTCATTTCAAATCCATTGTAATGGTGGTGTATAGAGCCAAAAAGATTAGAATTGTGTCGATGTCCCAATATTTATGGACCTGACTGTAAGTTCCATATTTCCTACCTCTATTGAGACAGGACTTCTGCTTTGATTTTAATGTTTCATTTATTACATCCTTAAGAGTAATCAGCCCTATATTGTGTGATGGATGTTACATTTCTGGTTTCTTTATACCGTATTATCAGAAACATAAAGAAGCTAGTCAATTAAACAGCCTGTAGTGGTAGTTCAAATTAGTGATAACACATTAAAAAACAAAAATGTTGCGGCGACTATAACCACATACTAGACCCAAATGCAGACTCCACAGCTAGACACTCAACAAAACGCAAAAAGACACTACACAAATGTTGCAACTCTATAAATAAGCTTTTGCGGGCACATGGACTATACGATGTCTGGAGAACCCTACACCCGAACGATAAGGAATACACCCATTACTCCCAAGTCCACAATACCTACTCCCGTATAGATGGGTTCCTCCTACGAAACACGCACCTACACCAAATAAGAACATGTGACATAGAAACGTCCTCGATCTCAGACCACAACCCGGTGTCACTAGTCCTTGCAGACTCATACCAATTTAAACAACGTAGTCCATGGCGGTTAAACGAACATCTTCTCAACGACCCCTCATTCCTGGACAAAGTAAAAACCGAACTAACTATATACTTCACGCGCAACAGTCCTTCTGACACGTCCCCCGCCACACTCTGGCTAGCCCACAAAGCAGTCATCCGTGGTATCCTGATAGGCAGAGCGGCATATCTTAAAAGAACCAACCACACTACACTGCTCTCACTCCTCAAGAAAGTTCAGGACCTACATAGGCTGAACCAAACAAATCCCACGACGTCACTCCGACAGCAAATACAGAGCACACAAAACGAAATCAATGTCATTCATCTCCGCAAGGCAACGACAGCGCTGAAAAAACTAAAAGCTACATCCTACTCGATGGGTAACAAAGCGACGAAACTACTGGCACAAAGACTTAGAGACAAACAAGCCCAAACGAGAATACAATTCCTATGCAAGCCCAACGGACAAAAAATAATTCAGCCCGCTCAGATCTGTAACGAATTCGCCCACTACTATAGCTCTCTGTACAACCTGAAAAACGACCTAAACTCTCCCCGACCCACACCAACGTCCATACGGTCCTACCTCACCAACCTAGCACTTCCCACTATTAACGCACGCCAAGCAGCTCATCTCAGTGCCCCAATCACTACAGAAGAAGTTCTTCACCACATAGAGGGAATGCCCAGAGCTAAGGCACCAGGACCAGATGGGTACACCAATGCATACTACAAAACATTTAAACACATACTGGCCCCCCCACTTACCAAGTTCTTTAATGCAGCGACCAACCAGAGCTCCTTCCCCACTGAGTTCCTGTCAGCCCACGTAATCACAATACCCAAACCAGGAAAGCCTCCAACTGTATGCCAAAATTTCCGACCAATCTCGCTGCTTAATGCAGACACTAAAATGTACGCAAAAATTCACGCTGATCGACTGAAAACAATATTACCCTCCCTTATCCACACAGATCAGGTAGGCTTCGTGGCAGGCAGACAGGGTCCAGACAACACCAGAAAGGTCCTTGACATACATCACCTCCTAAAACGGACCAACTTGGAGAGCATCATGCTCTCGTTAGATGCCGAAAAGGCGTTTGATCGCCTAAACTGGCATTTCCTACACGAAGCCCTGACCTTTTACGGCTTTCCTCCGCCCTTCTTGGCGGTCATTCATGCCCTCTATAGCAACCCCACAGCGACAGTACTAACTTCGGGGTTCTGCTCCCAACCCTTCCCAATCACCAATGGCACCCGTCAAGGCTGCCCACTATCCCCCCTCCTATACGTCCTAGCCCTAGCTATAGCCATCCGCAAAAATGATAGCATACATGGGGTTCCTATTGGCCAACAGGAGTACAAACTTAATCTATTCGCGGACGACATTCTACTCACACTCACCCAACCACTCATCTCCCTCCCTTCTTTACACAAAGAACTACACACATACAGTCAACAATCCTA